GTAATGAAAGGAATGTTATGGTTTCAAAATGCAATTATTGTTGTCATTTTAGATTCAAATAAATACTGAACGATGCAGGAACAACACGTTGCCTGCGTTTCAAATCATTGTTAATTCTTAAAATTAAATCGGTCAGCGCATCCTATGAAATTATTGCTTATTGTGAAGTAAAATGTCACGATATTAAATTAACAATATATAGGTCTATAGCTAGAACGATTTGAAACCCTTGTTAAAAAGAAATTATATGTACATTCTTGAGGAGTTTTAAAACTTAAATGGTTGGACTCTCTTTGACAACCTTTTATTGAGTCACCGAATTGTTATGTTGTCGGATTTCAAAATTTAACAACTGTTTCTAACCCCATTTTTGTCAGAGGGTAAATAACAGGTACTCCCAACACTGACACAATTACTGAACGGTTTGAGTCTATGGGGCTTTAAATTAATGCCACTTTGCAAGCGTTGTTTGTTTAATCGTGATAGTATATGAAAAGTAACATGTCTTTTTTTGGTTGTGCCTTTCACATCAAAGAACAAAATGTACGACAATACAATATTTATAAATATTTGAGAGATACAGCAGATATAATCAAAATAGTTTCTAGCATCTTTTTTATTGTTTTAATATTGTTTGCAAGTATTATGTAGTTGAATACGGGGTTAAAGCACTCGTAAGATGTTGATGCTTGAACGAAGCTATCGACATTAAAGCTAGGTGTTTTTTTATATTTAAAAAATATCCAATTCATTATGTTGAATAGTATCCAAATGCATGATTCCATCATAAAAAATGGACTTGTCTCGCATTTCTTCTAGTTAATAATCACATTCTGTGTTTAACAATAATTACCTCAAATTACATGTATGCATTGGTAAATCAGAGAAACAGGCATTTTAGTGTTTTTCATTGTTCCATTGAACGAATGCAGTAGTTTACAACGTTTAGTCCATGGTGAATCGCACTATTTTATAACAAAGTCAAAATAAGAAAAAAAAACAAGAGATTTTACGGCACTCGGGCTCGAATGCGTAGGGTACTAACCCGAGTTCAAGAAAACTCATGGTTTCGTGTCTAGAAACCCGAGTTCCCCCCCCCCCGGAGATAACGTGTCACATAAATACCCGGATATTACGTATACGTGGTTTATTAACTCAAATTATTACTTCCATGACTATATGATAATACTAGTACATCTGCCATAGCCACATATATGAAGATGACACATTTTAACACTCATAATTTGAATCAGTTTGTTTATTAGTAAGTAATAAAACACAAATAAGTAGCGCCTTGACTCACAAAATAAAAAAAATGCGAAAATTTACTAGTATTTACATTGTCGCTTATAAAATACTCGTACATGTATAATATTAGATCAGGACATGATATTCCAATATGGTGACTGGGTAACAGGAATAAGTTCTGTACTTACTAAGGTAATTAAAATCCCAATTAGCTATAAAAAAAAAAGCATGTTAGATTTATGTTTAGTTTCGCCTTTGTGTCATGGTACAAGAGAAATATTTAACACTTATAAATATATACAGGTATTTATATTAAAAACTATAATTGCCCATAGTATCACAATTACTTGGAATACAGTAGTAAAGATACGTGCTCCTCTCTGAAAAACATGTTGTATTGTCGGCAAAAACTGAGCTGAAAACCCTTTAAATTTTGAGTAACCCAGATTTGAAAGGTAATGATTTCACAAGTTATTACTGATCGAAAGCTGACACATCGAATACCTGAGTAGCATTACATGTTGTAATATCGTTCATATTGACTACTCTGATAGGGAATTCAGTACCATAATGACACTTCAAGATAATGAAAACTCGATCACAACCAAGACGATGAGACTGCGCAGAGATATACGGTTATTGGCAAGGCGAAGTTAATTTATTTAATACAGTACCGTACATATATTAACATATCTGAGGTTTCAAACAAAATCGTGTATCAGAGTTAAAATAAGAAACAGTTCTTTAAAACAATAAGTACTGTACTTAATTAAATAAAATAGTTAAACTCCCAATTAGCTAAAAAACATGCTAAAAATATGATTAGTTTTTTTTTTGTATCATGGTACAAGTAAAATATTTAACATTGATAAATATATGAAAGTATTTATATTAAAACTATAATTGCCTATACATGTAGTATCACAATTACTGAAATTATCAGTAGCATCGGTACATGCTCTTTTCTGCAAAACAAAAACAGTTGTATTGTATTGTTAGCAAAAGCTTAGTTAAAACCCATCAAAAATGAGATTTGAAAGTTAAGGCTTTCATGTGTTATTACTGATTGGAAGCCTATACATTGAGTCACGTATCAATGTGCTTCTTGGAGTACCTTATTTTGTAACATCGTTCATATTCGATCACTTAACAGAGAGTCATGTGTGCAATTTAGTGACCTGGTGACACTCTAAGATACTGAAAACTCGATCACAACTAAGACTACGAGACTCAGCAGTGATGTACAGCTATGTGCAGGGTAGATATCAAGGCGGAACCCCGTAGCTGTATTCATTACAGTACATATTAACATGTCAAAGGCCTCAAATAAAATATTGCCAACAATATGAATACATCTCTTATCTCAGCATATGTTCAATATCATCTTCAAACCAAATACTCATTAAATAATGCTGGAATATAGTTACAAATACTGAATTCTTGACATTGCATTGACATCTAACATCTGACATTTAACATGTGAATGATGATGTTCGGTCCCCTTCTTTCACCAAGAAGACATTCATTTCACTGTTGTTTTAGTTTGGCTGCAATCTTAGCCTTCATGGCGGCGTCCAATCTATTTGACCTTTGCTGTGGTCGTCTTCTGCCTTGGCTTTGTGTTGCTTCGTTTGGTTTCACACCATTTAATCGCATTTCTTCCATCATTGCTTGTTGTTTGCGTTCTATCTCTAAATTTTCATGCCAGATCAAGGCATTCACACCTAAAAGAAAATATCAATATAAAATCAAACCTGACTAACATTTTAAATGGCATATATATATATTATTTCAACCTAACCAGTTACAAACTTCCATTAGTAGTAAAAAAACGAGTGGAAGTATACAAGTTAGTTTTTTGTTTGCAAAGCAATGGCTTTAACAAAAATTCTTGGAAAATATACAAAAACAACTTATCAAATGTGTATTTCATGAAAGGTTTTAAAATATGAATTCGGTGACTTTTGTTTACAAGGTATTCAGCTTAGAGGTTTTACTTTACACAGGGCCTGTTTTACCAAGTATTTGTTTAACACTGAGGTTACTGTATAGATAGATATAACTATTTTCACAAGAATTACATACTGGGTGTGTGGAGGAGTGTTTTGATCACTGTCTATTCTATTATTTTTTCTTTTACAATTTGTTTGCAAATGTTTGATTCTTTTTTTCTGAAAATCTAACTAATCTGTCAACAAAATCAAATACATGGACCATCACGTTGGCAGAAAACTACAAATAATTAATATAATATACATAATTAATATAATAAATTACCCATTGAGGAGGCTAATACATCTCCACCATGATTGAACTTGTTCAACTGTTGTGAAAAGAAAAGAAATAATGTTTAGGTCATTACCATTTATCCGGTATCTATACATATGTCAAAGTATGAATACATTTGATAATTATGCTGATATTCATTGGAAATAGATGTTAAGTTATAATGGAAGTGTGAATAAAATAAAACATAGACACACATTGTACCCATCTACACATTAAATATGTGATGCTAAAATTAAAGACTATTCAATATATTCATATACCGGTCCGGTACTATAGTTTACTCCACGGAATCTTATAATGTCTATCATAATATATACCACATCCATTTTACTTAAATCTTAAAGCCTTCACCCATGGGGACATACTGGTCAATCCCAGGATTCAGCATTTTTTTCTCACCAGTCATACATAAACATATAAGATTGTAAAGAAGTCGGTAATGTTATCATTCCTATTAAAATAAAGTAAAAAAAAAGTATGAAGAGGAACAGTGGTTGCCCATAAAAAAGTAAATTGAATTACAAGTCATCTAATTGATTTAGTTAGAGAAAAACCATGTATAACAAGCCATGCATGGCACAGTCCCTGTTAGTTATCAAATTTAAGATATATAGTTTTGTTTATAGTACTATAGTTGGAACATAAACATGTCAGAAGTATGGATCCAGAAGATGATGCTTGATTATGATGATTTTTTAACATTAAAATGATTGACATCTTGTATCTGATCGTCAAACGAGTACTTGTCCATATTGAGAAATATTACTCTGGAACAGCATTAATTAAAACAAAATGGCCACCAGTCGGCCATTTTGAATACATCTACATATATAGAACATGATGTAAAATGAATATATCAAATTTGAACATAATCAGTGAAAGCATGGCAGAGATATGGCACTAAAACTGCATTTATTAAAACAAAATGGCCACCAGTCAGCCATTTTTAATCTGATCTGAAAAATAAAATTATGTGCATCAAGGTTCCATAATGTCCAACATATGTACCAAGTTTGAACAAAGTCCCAGTTCTGGAACGCCAGAAATGCTTGATTTTTGATGACTTTTTAGCACAAAAATTGCTGCCATTTGGCCATTTTGAATCAGATAGTCAATGTACAATGAATATATAAAATTTTAACATAATCAGTCAAAGCATGGCAGAGATATGGCACTAGAACTGCATTCATTAAAACAAAATGGCCACCAATCGGCCATTTTAAATCGAATCTGAAAAATAAAATGATGTCCAATGTATGCAACATGTTCAAACAAAATCCATCCATAAATGCCATTCGGCCATTAGATCATGAAACAAATTTATGTGCATATGTATAATATCATGTATAATGTATGTGTGAAGTTTAATTGTGATTGGTCCAGGCATTTCTAAGATACAGGTCCAGAGACATACACAGAAGCATGGACGCACAAAGGTCAAAATATAAGTCCCCGTTTTCGGACTACGTCTGAACAGGAACTAATAACATAGCGCCGTTTGGACGCTATTGTACAGAAGTAAGTAAGTATGAGTAAGTATGAGTCACAGCAAGTCAATATAGTCAGTTCTGACAGAGTAATGAATGAGCAAGTATATTTTTTCAGTGTAATATGGATATGACATCATTTCAGAAAATGAGCTGGATACTTACTGATATTAATCCTGGAGCTTTTGAGTCTTTAATTTGACAAACAATATCCCCTGTATTTACATCAATTACATCAATACTACGAGACTCATTGGCCACGTAACCAGGAAAATTCTGATCTGGATATCTTCCAACAACTATCAGGTCACACATAGGATGCCATGTTGCCTAGTCATATAAAATAAAAATATTCACTTTTTAGTAAATCACTATAATACTTATGGTCATTCAATTATTGCAATTCACAACAAGGCAAACAACATAGACATGGTAGTAGGACAGTGATGCAATTCTTGAGAATGCTTCAGGCTCCACTTTATTATCAATTGACTTCTAAATAATCTAAAATATTTTTTTTCAAACAAATCTTGTACAGCAAATATTATAGTATTATTATTATAGTAACATTAAGTTCGGATTAGACCCATTTCTCGTAAATTAATTTCGCAACCTGCATAAGATTGATAGACCTTTTTAGCGAGCACAGCTGCCATTTTGAATGGTGAAACCTCATGCCATCGACAAACTTTTGGATGCATTCAATGTCCTGATGTGTGACTACAAGTTTTTATGGTATTTAGTGCATGGCACTTGCATGGTTTCTCCCCTTATCTGACATTTGGTGGTGCAGTTTCACTTTGGGTGAAGGCAGAAAACTGGAAACAGTCAACTGCAACATGATAGGGGCATGGCTACAACTAGAAAACTTTTTTTTTCAATTTTACTTGAAGATGATTTATAATTAAATTTAATTTTTTTTTTAAATGTTTATTTCAAGGCAACAGAAACCAAAAACATATATGTGTGGGGTAGTCTTTCACAGGCATTTTACATAAGCACCAAATGATCCATTGAACGCTAATAAAGAACAGGGTGCAGTACAGCAAAATAAATGTACATGTATGTAAAAGGTCCTATCCACTATAATACACACTACATGTATATGCACATTAAATAAAATTTCCCAAAACACCAAAACTACATCTTTTGAAAGATCATTTCCAAAATCTATATAGACAAACTACAAAGTATACCTATATAATAACTTTA